ACAACCCCTCCCTCCCCCCACATAACACACACATATTGTGGTGCACACCATGCACATGCGCTGCAGTGCGTTGTTAGAACGCATCGCAGTGCATGATCTTTTTTCTTTATTTTTTTTCTTTAAAAAAAACCATTAAATTAACTGTGGCAGCGCATGGCAAAGCTTTGTGACTCATTGCCATGCGTTGTGATACCTTGTGTTGCAATTAAATATACACCTGTATCATTTTATCACAACACAAACACCAAAACAATTTTTTACATAAGTCGATTATTTACAGTTTTGCATACCTTCATTTTTTTACCTTTTCGCAAAAAGCCGCAATTACAAATTTGCTAATATTTGTTATTTATTAACTCAATACAGTTTTATCTTTTAGATTTAGTCAAAAAATATTTTTTTTTGTGCACAGATACTGATTTTGGTGTGTTTTAACAATTGAATTGTGTATTTTTATCGATTTAATATTAATTTGAGAAACATTGGGCAATTATCGCAGGGCCTACAAATTTAGTATCACCATCTTTTTATTCTACCGGGCCTGCGCTTTCAGAAAATATATGGTGTGGGGGGTCTTTTACAAACGCTAGCAACGCAGCAGTTGAAAATCAAATCAATAGGAAAAAATTGCAGAAAACTCAAAAATGGCGTGGCCAGCTGATTTGAAAAATGTTCAGGAGGGCTTGGCAGCGAAAGGGTTAAAGAGCAGAACCACCCAAAATGATGGAGCAAAGTCCAGTACCTGATAACTCTTGCTGTTCAGAGTCTTCCCCATCTTCCCCATTTCTGACCCAGAAAAGTTTTGCAAATCAGGAGTTCTGATTAACACTGAGATGACTTGCTACATACTTATTTCAGTAGCCCAGTATGTACCGTATATACTCGAGTATAAGCCGAGATTTTCAGCCCATTTTTTTGGCTGAAAAGTGCCCCCCTCGGCTTATACTCGAGTCAGCGCCAGCGCGTCTTCTTACTTACCTCGCCGAGCGTCGCGTCACTGCTGCTCCGGTGTGCGGCGCTCCGAGCGGGGTCATCTGGCAGTCTCCGGGTCCTAATTTAGGTGGCCGGAGACTGCCAGATGACCCC